CTGCCTAACAACTCACACAGTACTAATTACCAACTAAAAATTTAGATCTTATCAACATGTAGGCAGGCGGAGAATAATTTGTATGGGAGAATTGCGGGGCAAATCTCCTTTGGCAGGAAAGTAACTATTAATGGCTTCCTGCCAAAGGAGATATGCCCAGTGATGCATCCATACACTTGGCTTATTTGAGTCTCAAGGATTGAATGTTTATGAATGGTGTATAGGCATGAAATGTATATATATAGTGTCATATATGGTAGCTGGGAATTGAGCTTCTAATAATATTTGCATGGCATATGCCCCCTAGCTCTTTAGAAATCCAAATTTTGGGTCGTTCAAAAAAGTGTGTGAAGTAAAGTACACTGGATCTTCCATGCATATGCTTCCAAAATAATTAGGGCCCGCAATTAAACAAATTTTGACAATTGTTTTTATGTTTTTAGTTGGGTTATTCAATGTTGAAACAAAGTGCATTTACATTATTATTTATAGATACATGTCTAACCTTAATTTAATCAAAGAAAATGTTCATTGTACTTATAAGAGTCTTGAGAGTGGTCTATGGTCTTTTTTATTTAAGTCGGTCAACTATAAGTAACTTAGATTGATTTATCTCTTTGTGATCATTTATTGGTTATGATCACAAGATGAGTTTCACTTAAAGCACACATTTAGATAGCGGTTTAGATAGCGGTTGTTGCTTATGGGGGGAAATCCAAGAACATCTTGCCTTTGGTGTTGTTAATTAATCTGAAATGCCAAGTGAATAAGTCCCTTGTTTAAGTGCTAGTAAAACAATCCTTAATTAAAATCTGTTGTACCAACAAGGGAATGGATCCTTAGTTGTGTACCATGAAACAATGTACACTAGAAAGCATATTCTGTTGTAGGTTGTAGCACATTCTTTCTTTACATATGTTTTCCACCAACTCTCGAATAATATCTATATGCTTTGATTTTAAAAAGGTAAACATATAATATATAATGTCTCATGTCAACTAACGTATATTTCAAAAGATGTTTTTATTGGAATACATATTCTTAGTAGACTATATGTATGACTTAATAATTCTAAAATATCTATATTATTTTAGACATTCTAGTCATCAACCGTATATATTTTGTAGCATGTCACATGATTATATAGAAGAATTGGAGAACAATTTTGAGGATACTTCTTACAAAAGTGGAGGCTAGAAAGGAAAAATAGATCGATTATCTTAAGACAAAACACATTCTTCAATTTTACATTTTACATCTGTTGCATGGTTTGTACCTAAATCAAATAACAAAGCCTAATTTGTCAGTCATGTTGTTTGCAAAGTTATTTCAATTCAATGAATATAATTGAAGGAATTGCATGTGAGACAGAATATTGAACTTTCTCCTTTAATGCTTTATCAAAAGGAGCTAGAATGCCAACTAAGGATAAAGTTATTTCAATGAATTCATCTCATCTACAACCCCAACTACATCTTTCTTTGATTTACCGGAAAGCCTACAGTTATTATCCGAAAGTATCATTTAGGTGCATGAAATCTATCTTGTAACCATAGTCAGCAAAAGACAGATAAATTAACCTAGACTGTCCAAAGTTACTAGCTCAAACCGAGAAGACCAATAGATAACACTAAAGTATAAAGTTTAATTCGTTCATATTAAACTTGCGTTTGATGTGATATACTCATTTATTGCTAATAAGATTATATTTGGAAGAAGACAACACTAGGTAAAGTTAAATTTAAAGCGTTATCGCGAGGCAAAGAATCATATTCGCCACTTCACTCACGATCTAGCACTAACGTAAATCTAACAGTACTCTGTTTGATGTGACAGTAAGTTCAATAAAAAATTATTCACTTTTAAATAATCACAATTATATTGCATTAGTAAATTGAAAAGTAGTAAGAAACAAGAAATTAAGACCTTACCACCTACACACGTAAGGCTACGTACATATGCTGTCGATTGATCATCACATAATTAATATATAACATGCAAACGTCGTACACCAAGTTGACAACAAGAATTGATATAGCACAAAAGAGAATAAGTGCGGATCGGAGTTGAGATTAAATTGGAATAGTCTTGGCATATGCCGGATCTTGCCTATCTTCTACTTCGGCATATCCAAATCCTGGTGCGAATAACTTCCATATATAAACTCCACTCCCAATTTATGTGAAAACTCGAAGCAGCTTGCATGCATGCATTCATATGGATGCAGAGAAAGCATGCATGCATGCAAATAGTGGCTCATTGGCCTTCTTAGTTTGAGTCGAACAGTTATAGACAATCTAGACTGGTTTACTGTGATCCTTTACCGGCCAGGTAGTAACTGCGATTTTTCTGGTCGCCCAAAGAAGAAGCAAAATGTGGGGGTTACGAATAACAGGGCTTTCTCCTTCGGCAAAGAAGATGTATAGCCAAGCTAAGCAGTGTTGTTTTTTCTTTGCCAAAGGAGAATTGCTCTGTCATTCACTCCCACAACAGAGCCACCATGAAAATATGCCTTAAACCTAGCTGCAGATATATTATATGTGTATACTTGTAGTCAATGTTTTTTGTTTGGCTGCAGGAGATTATATTATTGAATAGGGCCAACTTTATAAGGTAGTCAACATTGCTATATCTAAGTTCTAAAGGTAGTGTTGTTTATCTTTCTGAGATTTTTTTGTAGGAAGCTTCAAGTAGGGGGGTTGGTTTTTGCTATTTGCTCATTGATCTCTAATCCCCTAAGTAAATAAATAAAAGGATTAACATAAGAGACCGTCTCGGACTCTCAGTCAAATTAGTTAGACAGTTGAGTGGTTAACCATAAGCCTGCCTATTAGGCTAGCTTTTAACGTGGCTAACACATATTCAAACTATTAATACTAATAAGTTTTTATAATTCTAAAGTACTAATTAATTAAATAAGACGCATTATGGCCACTGGTAGTAGAAACTTTTGATGGCGTGGTCCCTTCTAGGGATGCTGTTGTGGCAATGATTCAGACTTGCACATAGAAAGACCCTTCTTTCTCTTTACGCTCCCGACATTTACTTTAGAGCTATGGCTTTATTTTAATTTGATTTACCCCGAAATTTATAGTCACTACTTAAATGTACATATGATTTTATTTTTGTGTTTAGAATTGTGTGCTTTCTCAAATTAATTAAACCACTTGTTTTGTTGGGCTTTTCCCATGTAAGCTGTACAAAACATTTTTTACGTTTAATTTATATATTTACCATTACTATTTTAAAAAAATGGATTAGGGAATTGTACCAGATTAGAATGAAATGAAATTAAACCTGAACCGAATATATATCATATATGTCTCTTGCAGACTGTTTTTTGTTTGTGCAGAGAAGAGAGTGAACGTGGCTTCCTTGTTGGGGGGCCCTCTTTCGCACGCCTTTGAATTCCGACATAGATAGATAGATGGATGGATGTTCTTAAAAACATAAAAATCATCAGACAGGTCTTGTCGTTGAATTCCCATCACCATAAGTAATGAAAATATTACGTGTACTATCATTTTTTACTCCTAACTTTTACTCTCATACATTTTCACACAATGCTTTTCTTATGATTTTGATACACATTTTAACTAATCAACCAATTCAAAATAAGTTCATAAACTTTGTTAGCAATCACAGATAGAAGTATGAACAAATTTAGTATTGTTGTGGATACTAATGTGTAAGCATTTGTAGACCTATATGCCAGTTAAGACATATCACACAATTTACATCTTTAAGTCGTTTCTATAATAGGAGCGGTGAAAAAACTTTTAAGTTTAGAGTTCTAAGTTTACATGCTTTGATGTTGTGCATGCAAATTTGAAATTTGTACCTTTAGTTGCATATCTTTCCTCACTATATAATTGAAATTTAATCTTCGATCTCATGATCACCAAAGAACCTTGTAAATCCTAGTACATAAAATAAAAGGATTCTCATTATCACCAAAGGTACACGAGCTGAGGAATCTTTTTTTTTTTTTTTTCTACTTTTACGAGATTTCATAAAAGTATTAGGGTAAGATTCTTACCACATATATTTATTATTAATTAAATTGCCCGTTGTTTTGTTTGTCTGTTGTTCTCAGCCAATAAAATTGCCTCACCCAAAAACATCGTCGTCTTAATAACCCAATCTGACCTGGCATGTGCTCATATATATGGTACAAGTTGGTTGTCTGGTGTGCACTGCCTGCCCTTGTCCCTCCATTATTGCTCATTTTCATCTTATTTCAGGCTGAAAAAAAAGTTATACTACATGCACTCCATAATCTTACTCTTTAAATTTTACTCCCTGATGTGACAGATTTTAATAAGTTATTTTTTTTTATGTGAGTCCCAATACAAGTGTCTACGTCATGGTTTTGTGTTTGGGAATATAAATTGAGTGTACAAAATGGAAGTACATGTAGCATTTTCCCTGAAAAAAAGTCACAAGTTTGATCTAGTCAACACTTCTTGATTAATTTGTGTTGTCAACACTTTCTCGATCAATTTCTCACACAAGATCTTTATAATATTAATTTTTTTGTAGTTTGTAAGCTATTACACAAATATGGACTTACACAACATACATATACTCTTAAATAATGATTGCGGGTTTCCCTAATCCACAAGCACTACCTGGAGGCCGGTATACACAGGCAAATTCTTACTCTTATATGATAGTGTGCAAATTACATAAGAGAGGTAAATCGCACAAGGAAGATCGTGTACATGTGATAACACATATCCGGTACTCATGTGTAATAACTCACAAACTACAATACACAGAAAAAATAAACCACACTAGGAAGACTTAGTGCAATGGACTTAATCGAAAAAGTGTTGAAAAGAAGCAAACTCGTACCTTTTTAATACAACAATATAATCATGCGTTTTTACCCACTCGATCACATTTTTCAAGGCAAAGCAGGCTCTATTGATCTTATTACATATATTTGTCATTCTATCACCTACAAAGAATTATAAACTCAAAGAGATAACGAGAGAGGGAGAGATGGCATCACGAAGACTCCGAAGGAGGGTGGCATCACGCAGAAAGCTTCACATTCTACAAACCCTTTCCAAGTCCAAATCATCAGTAAATCCAAATCTCTGTCTGTTAAATATTCTCTAATTAATTTCTTTCTTCTTTCTTTGATATTAATTAATTGTTTGTGAAGGTCAAAAAGAGCAGTATCATCATGCATGTTCTTACTTGCATCCTCAAGATGAAACTGCATATTGAAGCAATCACAAGACAATATCAATACCACTGCAAAAATATCCAAGTAATTCATCTCATCTCTCCCATTTCTCTCTCTAACTAATCTCTTTTGGTGCCCGCACGGGTCAGGGCCGTATTTTAAGCTTTTGTGGCCCTGTTCTGGTAAATAAAGGTGGCCCTACTAAATGTACATTATACAATATAATGTACACTCAGAATAAAAATAATGTATATCTCCTGTATACAATATACATTATTTTTGTACTGAATGTACATTATTTTATAGTAGACAAAATATGGTCCACAGAACTTGTGTAGACTATGGTCCACACAATAATGATTGCTACCAAAATCACAATTTTTAAAATCAATACATGCAAGTTTCGAACCTTTGACCTCTAAGTTAAAATACAATACATACACATTCTTACCATCTCTTCATAGAACCTTTTACATTTAATTGAAAACTTTTAATTTTTATTTCTAAACTAGCTAGGTAAAAATTAAATATTGAACCTCTAAAATTTGGGGGCCCTCTAAAATAAGGGGCCCTGTGCGGTAGCCTAGCTTGCACAGCTTAAAATCCGGCCCTGGCATGGGTTTAGCTCAATGGTTCAATAGGTAGAAAAAGAGACCAAGGTTCGAACCCCGACAGTGACAGTGTGGGATTATGCTCAAAGTGGCACATCCCTTGTGTGCACCGGCATTTGGCCGCCATTGAATCACCGTGATTACATCCCCCAAATGCTGGCAGGGTGTAACATTTTCACATTTCAGACATTATAACAATACTAAAGTATCATTATAACTCTACTACATGCATGTTCATTTAACAATATACATATTTGTATAATAACTTGCTATTTAGTTTCATTTTATGCACACAATAAGTTCATTATAACAACACTAAAATATATTATAATTAAAGAATCTTCGCAGTGTTTATAAAAGTCCAGAGATCTAACTGCATATTATATAATGAGCATGCAGAAAGTGAAAGTGGATGCGGTTGGGAGTAATAGATTGGTGGTGAAGGTGAGATGCCTGAAAGGAGAAGGTTTGTTAGTGAGAATCTTGGAGGCCATGGAGGAAATGAATCTTAGGGTTCTTCATGCTAGGGTTTCCTCTCAACTCTCCTTCTTTGCCATGGATGCCATTCTTGAACCTCATCAAAACCATTTCACTGCTGATGCTGTAACCCAAGCCATTCTTAAGGCCATTGATCAAAAGAGCTATGAAACCCAGAAATAATTGTAAGGTCCATAGACCATATTGTTAATTGGACTAGAAGCCTTTTCAATTAACAAGGCCTACTAGGAAAAAAGGCCTTTAATTTCTTTAGCCTAGTCTTATCCTCAAAATAAGTTTCTTTAACATATATAGGACTCGTTTGTTTTAATTTCTATATTCTTTCTTCTTCATCTAATCCCTATATATAGTTAGGTGTCTCAATTATGCATTACACTAGTGGAGATAAGATGCATGCATATATATATAATTGTAGAGAGGCAGGCAATGTGGGTCAAAGTACAGGCCACAGGGCAGTTAGGGATGCCGTGTGGAACATTAATGTTGCATTGCTGGGTTTGTTTAGTTAATAATGTTTGAGAGAACATATCGTTAGTTGTTGTATTGTTTGACTATAACTATACGCTGTTTGGAAGGTCCAAAAAGAAGGCCTAGCTACCTCTAATTTTAGATCGTGTATTTATCAAAGAAAATACCAAACCGCCCAACCTTAATTAGCTTCTGTGATTTTCAACCCCACTGAAGTGCTGATTGACGGGTAGTTGTTTCATTAGAGAGAGAAGTTCACACGTTATCACCCTTTCAGCCTTACATACAACGTAGAAAATATCGAAGGCGATAAATGATAATATGATAGATGTTTATTTTTATCTAGTACGTTTGGACGGCTTAATTATGTGGTTTTGGGATAACAACAAAATTGGGTAAACGTTTATGGATAATTGAATGGTTGTTCCCGTGGAAGCAACAGGAAAAAGAATAAATGAAACTATAAAATTCGCCAAAATATGGTTCTTTCTCGATCTAAGATAAGGTCGATCTTTTCTCCCTCCGTTCTAGTAATACGTGAGCATAGTCTATTTTTATTGTGTGACGGGAGGTTGAAATGAATTTGTGACTATAAATTCTGTTTTAATTAAAAGTTTAAATTAATAATTGAAATGCATATTTATTATATATATATATATATATATATATATATATATATATATATATATTGTATGCTGAACATATTATATGTTGAAGATGACGGCCTTGTTGTAGTGCTAATATAATATATAAGTATTTGAAGACCTAATCAATTGAGTTACACTCTGTGATTTATTTTATTCATTAATTTTCAAAATAGAAGTAGTAATGAGTGTCAAAAAGTAGTAATGGGCTTCAAACTTAATTAAAAAAGAAATGTTAGAGAGAGAAAAGTCAATATGGAAAAGTATATTATAATTCTCTCTTTAACAATAAACTTCTTTTACAAATTAATAAAACTGTTTTTATCTCTTTTGACCAGCGCCCCTTCATTTTTAATGGCGATCATCATTCATCACAGCCTCCGTATGTTATATATGCTAGTATTTATTTATTGTCCAACTACATATAGACAATTTTTTTTCAACATTTATCACTCGATTTAAATCAAATACCTTATATAATAAGGTATTAATAGAGCATCTTATTGCAATAAATGAAAGTCTTTTTACGATTTTACATGTGGAAATTGATAGAAAAGGACAGATAATAATTAACGCGGAATATAATTGAACATACAATAGCTGAATGAACAATAAAATAGGAGACAATTTTTTTAAAAAAAATTACAACATACACTCGATAATAAGTACGAAGTATAAAATAATAAATATTGATTGAGCAATGGCAGAATGAACAATCTCAGACTGGAAATTAGACATACAAACTCACTTTGTATTATATTTAATTATTATATGTAAATTAACCAATATAAAAATCTTATGTACATGTAACTAGGAACAGGTCTTAAGGAAAAATTATTTCTCTCTAGGGTTTGCTAGAGTTTTCTCCTCCCCTAGGGTTTGCTAGGTTTCTGACGGTTTCCTACGTTTTTTCCGGTGATCATCACTGTTTGGCGACGCTAGTCGCAGCGGGCAAGTGCGTATGGCAGCGATGGTGGATGGCTCAAAAAACTTGTTTACGGCGCGTTCTGGATCACAGACCCGCCCAACCCAATGAGTACGCTGAGTTGGAACTGCCGTGGCTTGGGTAATCCACGGACAGTTCGAGAGGTGGTGGACATGGTGTCCAAAAAGCAACCCGACTTTGTATTTCTAATAGAAACTAAGGTAGCGCGAGATCATGCTGAGCGTCTTCGTGTTACGATTGGTTTCGAAGGCTTATTTTATGTTGACAATGATGGTTTGAGTGGTGGATTAGCGTTATTGTGGAAGAAGAATAATACGGCGAGACTCCTTAGTTACTCAAGAAACTACGTTGATATTGAGGTAACTATGACAGGTCATCCGGCCTGGAGAATGACGTGTTACTATGGTTATTCGGACCGTAATAGGCGTGCTGAATCATGGGATTTGTTGAGAATGTTGGCGGCAAAATCGAATCTCCCGTGGGTGGTGGTGGGGGATTTTAATGATTTGCTATACCAGTATGAGAAGAGAGGGGGAAATCCACATCCGAATAGCCTTCTTCGAGGTTTTGGGGAGACGATTGAGGATTGTGGATTGGCCCAGTTGCCAATGATTGGATACCCATATACCTGGGAGAAGGGGAAAGGGACTGCAAACTGGATTGAGGAGAGACTTGATAAGGTCCTAGTAACGAACGAGTGGTGCAATATAATTCCCCATGTAAAGGTTATGAATTTGAGAACCAGGAAGTCAGATCATTCAGCCATTTTTTTTCACAGTTCAGGAGGAGGTAGGGAGGGATGGGGTTAGAAGAAGGGGTTTTAGGTTTGAGATGGCATGGTTATATGATGAGGGATGTAGGGGTGTGGTGGAGCAGGCGTGGCAGGAAGGGAGAGGGCAGGGTTTACAGGGTTGTGTTCAATACTGTGGAAACCGGTTAACACGATGGGGTGGGGATCGGTTCCATAAGTATGGGAAACAGATTGTGCAGCTGAAACGGGATCAACAACGTTTGAGATGATGCACTGACTCGGCCTCTCTTGTCGAGTTTCAGCGAATAGAGCAACTTCTGAGTCGCACTGAGGCCCAGGAGGATGCATACTGGAGGCAGAGGGCCAAGCAGCACTGGCTCAAGGAAGCTGACGCCAATACCAAATTCTTTCACAGGTATGCCTCTCACCGAAAGAAAAAGAATACTTTACTTAGATTAATGAATGACAATGGGGATTGGTTGGAGGGGGATCCCATGAGAGATATCATTCTGGACTATTTTAAGAATATTTTCAGCTCTGGGGGTCCGGGAACTGGAGATGATTTTTTTGGGGGGATAGAACCCAGGGTATCACAGGCGCAGAATGACTCACTATTACGGCCATTTAATCTGGAGGAAGTAAAGGATGCATTGTTTGCAATGTATCCGGATAAAGCACCAGGACCGGATGGAATGAATCCGGGTTTTTATCAGCATTTCTGGGATGTGGTAGGAGGGGATGTTGCGAGTTTTGTGCTAAACTGTCTTGAATCAGGTGACCTCCCGTCTGGCTTGAATGAGACAGATATTGTGTTGATCCCTAAAAAGAGTAATCCAGAGTTAGTAACTGATTTGCGCCCTATAGCACTTAGCAATGTCATTTACAGAATAATAGCTAAAATGATGGCTAATAGAATGAAGCCTTTGATGGAAGGAATAATATCTGAGACACAGAGTGCTTTTATCCCAGATAGATTGATAACAGATAATATTCTATTAGCTGCAGAAGTGGGGCACTTTCTGAATCGAAAACAGTGTGGATTGAGGGGCTGGGGTGCACTTAAGCTGGATATGGCTAAGGCGTATGATCGAATGGAGTGGCCTTTTCTCCGTAATATGATGATGGCATTGGGTTTCCATGATAGATGGGTTGATTTGATTATGAAATGTGTGACCACAGTCTCCTATAGTATTCTGATAAATGGCTCAAGGAGTGACCCAATAATACCCACGCGTGGTTTGAGACAGGGAGACCCGCTATCCCCATATTTGTTTATTATCTGTGCAGAGGGACTCTCGTTGTTACTACAACAGGCTAACAGAGTGGGATTAATTCATGGATGTAGGGTAGCAAGAGGTGCCCCTCAGATTTCTCATTTGTTTTTTGCGGACGATAGCCTTTTATTCTTTAAGGCTAATGTGGAAGAGGCTAATGAGATAAAGAAATGCCTGACTGTATATGAGGATCTATCGGGACAGGTGGTTAACTACCACAAGTCGAGTATTTGTTATAGCAGGAATACGAGTAATGTGGATAGGGAAAGTGTGGCCCAAGTTTTGGGGGTGGAGCAGGCACCAAACTTTGGCAAGTATTTGGGTCTACCTTCGTTTGTGGGTAGGAATAAAAAGGCAGCTTTTGCATATATTGAGGATAAAATACGCCAAAGAATTGGGTCGTGGAATAAAAGGCTATTGTCTCAGGCAGGGAAAGAAATACTGTTGAAAAGTGTGGCACAATCTATGCCTACCTTCTCAATGAGTGTTTTTTTGCTACCTATATCAGTATGCACGGCTATAGAAAGAACGATGAATAGATATTGGTGGGGTTCTGGGACGGACAACCGAGTTCACTGGAAGGCTTGGGACAAGCTATGTGTTCCTAAGAAGTATGGTGGATTGGGTTTTAAGGACCTACGTGCATTTAATCTAGCTATGTTGGGGAAACAGACATGGCGAATGCTCACTAAGCCTGATTCCTTAGTAGCTCGTGTTTACAAAAGCCGATATTTTCTCAGGGATACTTTCTTTGATGCGCAGGTAGGAAATAATCCCAGTTTTTGTTGGCGGAGTGTAATGGCTTCAAAGAGCATAATTTGTAGTGGGGTCAGACGAAGAATTGGGAATGGGGAAACTACATCTATATGGACCCATCCATGGTTACTGGATGACCAGGACCCTATGATACAAACAGAGATGCCTATACAGTTACGAGAGGCCAGAGTAGTGGGGCTAATAGATCAACAAACTGGTACATGGGATAATGAAATTTTATCAGATTTATTTCAACCTACGGATGTCGAGAGAATTATGAGAGTACCTGTATCCCGGGATTATAATGATGCATGGTATTGGTACGGGGACCCGAGAGGATTATATTCTGTGAAAAGCGGGTACAGACGATTGGTGGGAGATTATGAGAATAATCAAGACCCCTTTACTAATTGGTTAGCTTTATGGAGACTAAAAATTCCACCAAAGTGG